TTGCTTACAGTGGTATATTAAATCAGGACTTCTACATTATAAGAAAAACGTTTATTCTTGGTAAACCATTTTGATCTGGTATTGATCGTTTAAAAACCATTATCTTTAATGGTTATTACTACGTTGGAACGCATTCATGGTCATTGTGTTAAAGTATAATTGTTTATTGGCAACATAAAGTTTAAAAAAGTGGTTCAAATCTGAAATTATTTTAACCGATTATGGGGTCTATTCTGTAACAATTCCTTTATATTTAAAGGCCTTTAAAAATATTTTCTTCTTTACTTCTGTCATTATTTAAACGGATCTTTAAAATACATTAGAGGACTATCTTAAAGAAATCTGTTTAAATAATGACAGAAGTAAATTAACGAATACAAACATATTTTTATAGGCCGCCAATATTTTTAAAGGCCGTTAAATATAAAGGAATTGTTACAGAATAGACCCCTGTGGATGTAATAAATATTATTTTATATTTGTAATAAAATAAAGTTATTGCTGTGAAGTAAATTTAAATGTACTCTACTTATTTATATCTGACCTTCCGAATAGGGTTGCCTCATGTGCTTTTTTGAAAAGGACAGTCCTTTTTTAAAGCAAAATACCCCTTTTTCAAGGTTTGGGATAATAAAGAACCATGGGAGACTGAAACTGTTACTGTCGCTAAAGGGTATTTGCATTGGCTCAAATTAAACTTTGATTTAAATTTTTTGCTCAACATTTTTGCAGAGATTTTCCCTTTTACTGACATATTATTCGATATTTTACAGACAAAGTCAAATGCAACTGGCTTTTGCATTAAACAAATTGATGATTTTAAAAATAAAATGAATAAAAAACGAGATCAGTTTGAACACTTTTGGAATAAGACTCAAATCATTGGCTTAGAACCTGAAAGAAAGAGAATTAGAATTGATAATGTCGGCGACAGAGAGACCTCCTATCGTCGATTATCCGCCGAAATTTTTGATAATATTTTACAACAAATGAACTCTCGATTTCAAAAGTTTAACGAATTAAAATTTGTTGAATTGTGCAATTTTAATATTAGTAACTACGATTCATATAAATTTCCATCGGAAGCTTTTAATTCACTAAAATTAAATTATGGAAATTTTTTCGATATTCCAGCATTAAAGTCCCAGTTAAGTACTGTTTATGAAACAACTGAAATTAGTGATTAAAAGACGCCCATCAATGTGTTAAATTTTCTTATAACAACTGGTTTAAATAAGTCCCTTTTTGAAGTCGTCAGTTGTCCCAGCCACAAGTGCGTCAGTTGAGCGAAGTTTTTCAGCTTTAAAGCGCATTAAAAGTTTTATACGAAATTCAACAACTGAAGACAGACCCTCTAATTTAGCCCCAATATCCATTGAAAAACAGCTTGTTAAACAGTTATCCAAAATTTACGACGATGTTATAGACAAATTTGCAGCCATTGAAGAATAGATCTTAAGTATAAATAAATGTCAACTGCTGTCAACTGTGCGAAAAATGCTGGAAAAAAATAAAAAAAAAGCTTCAGTTAAATGATTTTTTTACGTTTAAATAAACCAAGGAAGCTTTTCAATGGTAAGTTTTTTTATAGCTAGTACTAAACTAGGTAATAAATAGTAACACTTCAAAAATCTCAATCTCGAATATCCGTAGTACTAAGGAAAAAAAGCAAGATTTTGACAAAATGATGAATGCGTTGCGAAAAATTTTCGCTTGCGGCGCTGTGCTTACTGGCATGCTATATTTTTATGTAATCGCTTCCCCTTCCAAAAATTTCACCGCACGCCACTGTATTATACGTTATTGTTACCGCATTATTGCCTTGCTTGGATAATTAAGTAAATTAAACAAATAAATATAAATATATTTCGCTGAGCTTTACAATTCCAAAAAGTAGCATCAGAGAACACAACAAGATCTCGTTCAATTTATTTGATACCGCAAACATTACTTTGGAGCAAAATAATACCGTAGGGATTGGCAAATGTAAATCCTAGTTCACAGTCACAGAGAATAATAATTGCCGAGAACTTTGTATTTCGGTAGTCAACGTCATCAAACTTTGTAATTTCTAATAAACTGGGATTGAGTTAATATAAATGTTCAATGTACAGTCCCTATTTTGCATGGGCGGCTATGTATTATGGGTGTAATGTAGCCGTCACTCCAGAAGTTGACAAAATTTTAATAGATTTACCCCTTGGTGAAATCAATAGTAGGAAAGGGGAGAGTACAAAATCCCATGCCAGGGGGCAACTGTCTCATTTGCCCCCAGACGACGCCCATGCCTATGACTGTACTATTAATAGGTTCTTTATGAATTTTTCATCCCCAATCCTGTAAATCAAATCAGTGAAATTCCCCTATTATTGACGGTCTAATGTGAAATTAATGTGTTGACCCTTTTGGCATCAGAAATGCTGTTGTAGCTATAATGTAATTTGAATTTATTGCTCATTTATTTGAAGTTAGTTACCTCCATAACTTTTAACAAACAAACTCTGTTGCTAGTAATATTTTTATTTTATTTTGAAGTGTTTTCAATAACCAGTTAGAAATGTTTCTCAAATGTGTTTTTGGGATTGTTGAGTTACTGGATCTTTTTTAAAATGTTCTTAATAAAAGGTAATTATGTACTTTAATTAAAAGATAGAAGCAAAATTATGAAGCGTTTTTAAAATTGGACAAATAAATTTGGGTCCTAAAATGTTTATTCATTTAATTTATGGTCCAGATTCTGTCTCTAATGTGTATTCAGGATTAATTTAGTTACTTTTACAGCAAATTTGTACTGTCTTTTTAATAAGTAAATAATTTGATCAATAAATTTAATTTAACAAATAATTTTTAATTTATTTGTTTTGTTATATTTAGTTCATGAATTTAAATTTTATTGATCTATTGTATTAAATAAATAAATATATAATAAAACACATTAGATACGTATATTTTTATTACATTAACCCATTAAGACAAATAAATTATTAGATGCAATTTTTCTCTGTTGGAAAATACATTTTTTATGCAAAAGAGTTAAATCACAATTTTGTTGATATTTTAAGGGTGAAAGATCCAACACCTACTAGAAAGTCATTATTGATTGTGCATTAAAAAACTGACATTGTTTTTTGGTTAATCAAAATTTTTTTTTGCATTTTCGGAAACGTGAAACGTGAAAAAAAGTTTAAAAAAATGGCAAGAAATGTTTTTTTGTCCACGACCACTTAATAATACATCAATATTCTACCTCCTAACTAAGAGCATATGGTACCCATATATAACTAGAGTGAATTATGATAATTCACGCTTTTGTAATTCTGGCACTTTCCGGTAGGTGACTCAACGTCTAACCAGGTTTTTGATAATATTCAAAATTCATCTAATAATTGTGATTTTAAATCCTTGTTTTCAAAAAAATTCGAAAATTGTTCCTGTATTACCGTAACTACATATTAATGTAAATAAGTAATGATAATTAGCTAGTTATTTATACTATTATCTTGTAAGTTAAGCATTACTTTGTTAAACAACAACAGTTAGTTACCTATGTTTTATAAAAACTTTCCGTTCTACACTTAACTTTTATTTAATAAAGTAATCATAATGGTCGTGGACAAAGTATAGTATTACACTCGCAATTTATAGCCATTTTTCACTCGGGTGACTTACGCCCCTCGCCTACGGCTTGGGACGCAAACGTCACCCTGCGTGAATAATGGCTACTATAAATTGATCGTTTAATAATATACTATTGTCTGCACCATTGCAATACTGAGGCCCCATAGGAAGGGCCTCAGTAATTTACTTTTGTATGGTTTAGAATATTTATATTGAGTTTTAATAAAAATGTTCACATAGGATAGAAATCGATTGTTTCAATATATACGAATGTTATTTTAGGAAAAGGCTTTCGGTCTCAAAGAGAAACACTCCTCCACTTCAGATGACAACCTTCGCTATTTAATTAAATGCAAAGTTTATTTGGTTAAAAGTCACCAGGCAGGCAAAAAAACACTATTTAATTTCATTTCGCTGACCACAAATATTTCAAATACCTACTCATAATTTTTATTTAACAAAAACAACAAAACAATGTTTGCTTTTTTAAAATTACTTTATTTTTTAAAATTATTTTTACACCAAATTTGCAGAAAATATTCACAAAAGTACAGGTTTCTATAAAATAAATTAAAATATACCGAGATTAAATTATAATAATATACAAGGTAGGTTAAAAGTGGATATTTTTTAAGCGATTTGCAAAAATGAAGTTTAATGTTTTTAAAATAATTTTTTACAGACCTTTTTATACATATAGTTAAAATGTATTTTTTAGGTTTGAGGTTTTATCGATTTATTCTAAAACAACGTAAATCATTTCTTGATCTATTTTCAGATTAATTAGTTGAGTATTATCTAATTTAGTTTTGTATGTATTCAGTAGTTTTAATCATTACTTTGATTTTATCAACATTTGGTTTAAGATCATTTTTATAAAATACGGATAACAAACGGTATATTTTTGAAATCAAGAAAGAAGGTAACTCCAAAAACTTAATAATATATAGGGTATCCCATTTAAAAAATATAATTTTTTGTTGTATTCGTGAAATCTGCATCACTGCGTTTTTATGTGCTGATGAAAATGGGTGGATAATTTATAACTGCAATGTTAAAAACATAAAAACACATTGTTTAAAATAACTTAAAATTTATTTACTGTAATTTTAGTTTGATTATCTATATGCTTTTTGTTAAACATATTTTTTTCCAAATTTACTCCTGTTCTGAAATTGGATTTAACCTGTTGAACAATGTATAAATAAATAAAATAAAATAATAAATGACCTTGTCCAATTTTAACTAAAAAAAAAAAACATTTTTTTAGATTAATTTAGTAAAATTATAAACTTGTCTGGTTGCTTTAAAAATTCCTACATCTTTATTATGTGAATTCTATCCTTTTTGCAATTTCGTGACAATATTTTTTGTTGTTGCAGGTCTTCGAAAAACAGACGGTACCTCTACGGGAACTCAAGTACCAGCTGTAGTTTCGCCGGCCTATCCAAACCAAGCAGCGGTATTCGCAGAGCAGAAGGGTTGCTCTTGGGGTTACAGCAATCGTCTAGTAGCACCAGCGCAACCAAGTCCTTGGTTCATTCCTAGAGTGATAGGCGGACCGCAATGCACTCAGTGCCCTGGTGTATGTCCTGTTCCTAGAAGTTCAAGTAATCCTGGAACGTCTTCAAATGTAAGATTTTTTATTTACTTAACAATGCTTTACCTATTAAAGTGCCTCGGAATTTAATAATTGAAATAATTACCTGGCTGGATACCACGATTGCGACATAATTTTTAAAATTAACGTGTTTTCTATCAGACTAAAACTTTCAGGAAATATTCTTTGAATTATTTTATTAACAAAATACAACTGCCAGACGATTATGACGGTTACTTGTGCCCGCCAGGTGAGTATACAGTGTGGATTCTTCGTTTCATCCCGTTCCCTCACATGAAAAACTATAAGTTTTACAAAAATATTTGAAAATAAACGACAGTGCTACTAAATAATTCTTACTTTTTATTATATGTACATAATAATGTATCATGTACAGGGTGGTAGGTAGAATTACATTTAGACGCAACATCTTGTATATTGTTAAATATAGATTCGAAAATATTTTTATTTTTATTAGGGGAATTAAATTTCTTGTTTCGAACTTAATCATCGATCATCAGTAAAAAAATGTAACAAAGTGCTTCACTTAAAAAGTAATATAATTTTAAGTATATACCATGTATATAAAATAAGAAAACGATTTAGCAGGAAAAACTATATCATGACGTCACAAAATAACTAAATCCATTATAAGAAAGGTATTGGTCCAAGCTCTTAACATAAAAAAAATAATTTATCATTTATTAATGGAATTCTTAACTTTGAATGTATATTGCATAAAATATAAAATCAGAATATGTATATTGATATAAATAACTCAACTTAAGGCAACCTTAGTTGCCCGATAGTTACAAGATGAAGTGTGCCTAATCTTTACCACCTTTCATCAAAATTGATACAAAAACAGAAATTGCCAAAAAGATGACAAAAGCCTGACGCAGTGACGAAATGAAAGTATAAGAAAAGGTATGTAGTGCGTGCAAGTTACTACACCTATTATAGTGATTGATTTTTTAAATTTTCTGTTATCATTTTATCCAGTTTAACAAGAAATCATCTGAACGTCACTTTCTTTATCTACAATGTTGAGCTCTATCACTATTAATCGCTTGACGTGCACTTTCATCAGCCTTTTCTTTGCCTAAGATGCCTGTGTGCGAAGGGGATAAACTACAACACATTTCTGGAACTCTAGGATAGAGGCAGATCAAATTTAATAAGTTGTTCAATAGGGTGCTTTCGGTAAATTCGTCGAAGGAAGAGCCGACAGCTTAATAAGTCAGAACAAATAAGGGATTTTTCAGTTTGACGTATTGTATCGCGATATATGAGAGGATAAAGTTTAAATTGGTTTGTGTTATTTAGATTTCTGATAAAAGAACATCCTGCCCCTTCATTAGTCTTGGAGGCATCAATATAAATTACCTTATGTTATTATAATTTTTCGACAACTCTTGGTAAAAGTTTTGCTTAATTAAGTGGTACATTTGTTTCGTATTAATAATACCCGGTCATAATTGTATTAAAGGTAGTTAGGTTTATGGTGCATAGTGGCGGATAGTCAATAAGGTGAGGGAAAATCTCTGGATGAAGTTGTCCGGTGTTTCTAAAAAATAACGAAATCTTTGATAATATGATGTCTATAATGTGAACTTATTTGAGTAATGTGTTGAGTATCTGCTGTTGGAAGCGCTTTTATATACAGCTTTAGATTTATAAGCATGATTAAGAGATAAAATTATGGTCTAACTGCCTTGCAATACAGACTTTAAACAGGGAATGTTCTATAGGCTCCCAGTAAATTCCTTAAAGCGGTATCAAAGAGTTTTATGGTAGATTTACTTGCAGATGCAATATGCCAAAGATCCGTAGTCAATTTTAGATCTAATTAAAGACCAGTAAATATGCAAAAGAGTCTGTTAATCTTGGTCCCATTTTTTGTATGATAGAACTTTGAAAATGTTTACAGGTATAACTCCATCGCGCATCTTTCTTAATATAATATTGTCTTTCCATGTTAGTTTTTGTTCAATTGTCATTTCAAGGAATGTCAAAGATGTAGCTGTAATTAACTCTAGGTCAAGGCATTATAGTATGAGAGCCCACTGCAAATTTCGACCGTCATCTGATAACGAAATGAAATATGCTCCAAAGGCATGTAACAACATTGTACTTTACCAAATTGGGCATGTGCCAATCCCTATCCTGAGCAAAGTAGTTAAAAAAAATATTTTATATTCAAAAAATCACATAAGACATGACAGCCACAATTGTGTTTTCCCTGAAAATTACAATCCTAATTCATTGTGAACCTAGCTTTTAAACCTGAATTATTAATATTTTTACCTACCTTTTAAACCATGTTTATGTATGAAAGGAAGAAGGATGGCATTGTATAAACCATTTATAGAGATAGTCAATAATAATTATAAACTCTTGTTAGATAATTCTTTTAAACCATAATCATAGTAGTTTTTTTGTCGTTTCTATGGCAACCTGTAAAAATGAATCACAACAATAGGCATACAAATAAATTTTTAAATCAGCAAACATTGATTCATATTTTTAAAGTATTTTACCTACTAATCGTGGACAGATATTTTTGTGCGATGTTAAGAGGAAGAAAATATTTCCCTTTAACGATATATATCAAGATATATTTGAATGTTATTTTCTGGAAAACTTGAAGGGCAAACAAAATTAGCGCTGTCATGCCTTATGTGATTTTTTTAATATAAAATAATTTTTTTAAGCCACTTTGTTTTTGGGGTATATTTCATTTCGTTATCAGATGATGGTAAAAATTTGCAGTGGGTTCTTGGGCTATTAAATGAAATTAGTTGTTAGGTATGTCTTTTACACATTTTAACCTCTTCCTGTTGTGTGGCCTGTTGAGTTTCCTCCCTTTTACTTACCTTTTTATTCACCGGAAACCTTAAACCTTACCTTTTACAGTAATGTCCGACTGTCGTCTTTCCCTTGGTTCCCCTTTATTTTGTGCACTTCTCAATTACCCTTTTTTTACATTCTTTTTAAGTTTCACTTCAATTTTATTTTCTTTATCTTTCGCACTATGGTCTTATCTTTAAATTCTGTCTAAGTGTAATCAATTTTTTTCTAATGTCTTCTTACAAATCTCATATATGTAGCTGTTATTTTTCTTTTTTTTTTGTTCATCTTTCTAAGCGGTTTTCGTTTATTTTTAAAACTTGTACTTAATGTCTTTATCTGTTTCTTATGTCTTTATCACTCTCTTTCTTCTTCTGATATTATTGATCCTAGGTAATTAAAGTTCTGTAGTTTTTCTAATTTTTCTTCATCGATTTTTATTGTGTGTTGTTTATGTCTTTCCTGCTATCTTACTTTTTGTTTTCGCCCTGACGATTTTTGTTATTTTCTTCTAGTACTATCTTATACAGTATTGGCCATGGAACATCTTCCAATATCCCTTGGCACAAGTGCATGTAAAAACTACGGCAAAGCAAGCAGGAAAGGAATACTACCAACCTGACCAACGTTTCAACATAGTCGGTTTGTATAAATGACAACGTTGACACCATTCCCTTCCGCTTTCTCCAATACCAACTCCCTATAGCTTTCACTCGCGCTTGTGTCAAGGGATATTGGAAGATGTTCTCTGACCAATACTGTATAATCTGCATGTGCTTGTTTAGTATTTTTTGCCAATTTCTGACAATAACCATAGTACAACTCGGACATTGCTCCCTAGCTCCATAGTTTAATAATTTACCCTGTATGGTTTTGTCTCCCTTTTTGCTACCATTATTTCTTCTTCCAAAATCATGAAAACAGTAAACATCTTTAAATGCAATCACTACCTAAGAATTACAGTTTAGTTAAAAGTAGATCATAATTAAGGTAAGTTTTCTTTGCAGGCTCCCTCAACCAGTGCTACTTCTTCAATTCGAAAGCAGAGGCCTCTAAGTCAACCAATTCCTCAAAATCTAAATGGAGAAATAGTACCAAAAACGCCTCTACCAGAAATATCAGAATTTTCTCCGAGCAGTCCGCAGTATGCTTCTAGTAGTAGTAAGTTATCACTAATTTAATTTTGGTCTGATAAATTATTCTAAAACCGATATGAAAATATCTACGGAAAAAAGCATAAATGTTTATTTTTTCAGTCTAATATTTTTGAGGTAATAGATTTTTGGGTATTTTTTAGGTAATTTTGAGTAATTTATTTGTTTTTATTTTTAGGATAATATTTTTCAGGGTAAATATTTTTTTGAATAATTGTTTAGGGGAAATTTTTTCCTGTATTTAACTTTTTGTCAGTACCCCCCTGAAGTCGCACTTGATTTAACCCGAGAATAAATTTTTGTCTGTTTTCCATCATAATTTCAAAACCTGGTTAACAAGTTTTCGGGTAATTTTAAAATAGGTATAATATCATTTAAAAAAGAATATTTTATATGACAGTTATTTATTTGAGTTTTCAAACCATATTAAAAAAGGAATTTTTACATTTTTCTGCTGGTTTAGAACATCATCTCATTTCGTCTATAATCCCTTTTACGTACGGCAGTGACTTCTTAATAATAAAATTAGGAATATATTTAGTTTGCCGCAGAAAGTGAGTACCTACCCTAATGTTCATATTTACATAATAAAAACAAAAGTAATTTACGGAGCAGCCGGATATCCCAAGGGAACGACAATAAAAAGAAAAATAAAGAAAGCATGGAATGAAAAATCCAAAGTAACATCTTGCTTGTAATTTAGAAGCTACTAGATTTTACGATCTTTAGAGTACCTATGCCAACATAAAATGTGACCCTGTAAATCGAATATAAAAACAAAAGGATGATACCAAATGATTTGACAATATAATTGTGTAATCAACTCGGCCGAGGGTTGATAATAAAGTCCCATAGATTAAATATCCACTTAGGATTATTTAAGTAAATCAGGATTTACTTTACTTTATTGTAATAGCAACACAGTGGGCTTCACACAGAACAATGAATAATAAAAATGTCAACTGTCATATATCATTGTACAGTACCAACCTAAAATTTTAAATATTAGTTAAGCATTTTATAGAGGTTCTAACAATTGTATTTTTAGCGGGATATATAATTTATTAACAAACAAAAACAATCTCTCTGTACCGAGTGTTTCTTAATGCCATATCAATATTGAAGGAAGACATTTATTGGCTTATTTTATGGCTAAAATTTCATATAAACATTTGCTACACATTGCTTTGTTTTTAAAAAATCTGTTTTTCGTTAATGTCTCTATTGCTCTTTTTAATATTTTAATTAAACCCAGCCATGGATTAAAATTGTTAAATCCAGTGGCGTCCAACTCTTTACATTTAGAAGAAGCACCTCACATAGTCCTCTCAATAAAGGAAGTGTATACAAGGCGTTTCTTCATTGCGTACATTAAATTTAAGGGTGTATTCCAGGGCTAATTTCATGAAAAAAATGTCCATATAAACATGGGTCCGGAAACGATTTGTTCTAAAGATACAGAGTGTTAAACCCCCTCGGGACAACACTGGACCTAATAATTTTAACCTAATTATGGTTGAGAATTCAAGAAAAGTTTGTAGAATAAAAGTAGTAGATCATTTTATCAGCTTTCACTTAATATAGGAAAATATTTTCCTACGATGCACCGTTTTCGAGATATAGGTGAAAAACCTAAAATAATGACCTTCTTTGTGTCCCCTCCCCTCCGGCCCACCTCCTAGATATCAGGGCTTTTAGTATGTTCACACCTTAAGCACCCTGAACAAGTTTCTGAACAAATCTTTTGAAAAAATACCCGTGGTTAGTCCTTTGCGAGTGCACGAAAATTACAAAATTTCAAGTGTCTAGCTTTACTGAAATTTTAGAAAAAAAAATAAAAACTCAATTTTAGTCACCACCTCTTAAGGGTGATATCTCGAAAAGGGGTGGGCTGAGGACATGTTATAGGAAAGACCCATCTTAATTTCGTACGAGCAATCACCTCCTGAATTTTGTTGCATGAATTTAGAAACACCCTGTATATGTTGTTTATATAATAAAACCAAATAATATAAGGCGAATGTGAATCCATGGAAATAGGTATAGTAAAGAACGTAGAATTGACGTTCTGCGGATATCTATTTCTTGACGTCCCGAGGATTTACCAAACTGAACATCATTAAAACGTCCAGAATTGGTCCTGGACGAACAGACGATAAATGGACATGCAATGGACGTCCTTAGGATGTCCTGTGCTATCTCGGAATAGATTTTGACATTTTGACTTTTTTATTTGATTGATTGAGAAGCTGTGAGATAAGAAAAACGCGTGCGTTTATAAACTTCTTATCTCACGCAAAATGAGTGGGATACGAAGTTCTTATCTCACGGGCGTAGATAAATGAATTAAGTTATATTTCATTTATGATTCATATAATTCCCAACAATTAAATATTCATGAATCACGTTGTTCTTATAAAAATAACCATCTGTTCAAGTCACTTCAAGTTTATGTTTATCAAATGCATTAACAACAATAAGTATAATTATATTGGTAAAAACATTTGAGTATGCAAATTATTACAAAATTAATGAGATCATCCCAAGAAGTTAAATGATTTGTCATTCAATTCAGAATCAGGCTAAAGACACACACGGCTGCTTTCGCCGAGTCGGCCGCCGAGTCGGCCGCCGCCTCGGCGGATGCTGTAATGTAAATAAATGGAGTTGTTCACACTATACTGCGCTGCGAGAAAGCGACGCTACACCGCCGCGCGTACCGTCGTTTGACTCAAATGCATTATTTTTGTGAACCGCTTCGTGTGTTTTGGAAGAGGCGGCCAGCCGAGTCGGCGGAAACAGCCGTGTGTCTTTAGCCTCATTGCGATTTTTAAGTAAAATGAATTAGAGTTAGTGTTAGCGTACCTACTTGTTATGACTTAGAATAAATAATAAAAATATAAAAATCGTAACCAACGGTGATAAAATAGTATATTGTTTAACGAGTGACAAAAGTAACATTTTCTGCAAACAAGAAAACAGTAAACAGTTTATCAAACGAGGCGCAGCCGAGTTTGATAATGTTCTCATGTTGCAGAAAATGCTTTTCGACGAGTAAAATACTATAACTTTTCTATAACCATGGCTTACTATATAGGATGTACAAGAAGTTTGAATGAGTTGAATTATCTTTAAAGTGATCTCGACGAAATCTGCGATTTAGGAGTAAACCCCGTTTTACAAAGTTTGTTTTGGCATCTACCTTTATATTATAATTGAACTTTTCCTTTATAAAACCCTAAAAATGAATTCTAAGACTGTAACAATAATTTTATAATATCTGAAATTGCAACCACTTACTTTCGTCACTAGAGACGAAAGTTAACGTTAAGGGATATTCTATCACTGATGTCGGAACTGGCGTTTTCGGTTGGAGTAAAACGTGACGAAAGTTGTTGATTTTTAAATGGTTATAGAAAATCAAATTTTTTCTATAGTTAACGTAGGCAATTAATTTTGAACTGGTGAGAGAAATAATATCTGAAAATCAAAATAAAGGAATTCAAAGTGAATAGATGATAAAAGCCGTTCCTAGCTCACAGTTCTAAAAGTCGCCTCTAGATAGCGCTACCTGTCAATGGCATGACGTTTTTTCTTTAAGATCCAACTCAACTTTTTTCATGATATCACCATTTTTTTAGATTAGAAACTTTGCATTATTCGAAGTAATTTCTTTAAATTTCTATCTCATAATGTCAACAAATACGTAACACCATGAGTTTAATAAAACGTATGTCTGGAATTAGCGAGATACTACATTTTTAAATCAACAAACGTTTCCTGAAGTAATTAGGCAAAAATAGAAGACTGTATTTTGCGTTTTAGGTTATAAATATCATTTTAAAGATTTGTAATATTACTTATTTAAATATTATTCATTAAAAGTAAAGCACATAATTGACTTTCGAATATTTTTACTTTCCTATCTATATACAGATATAAGGAAAGTATAGGAATCATGATTTTTTTTGACTTCGAGTTTTCAACGGATTTTTACGTTTTGAGGTCCTCTGAATCCGTTTTGACTATTTTCGCGATGTCTGTGTGTGTGTGTGTCTGTGTGTCTGTATCCACCATAACTCATGAACCGATACCCATAGATACACCAAATTATAAACTTAAGCTTTATTTCAGCGTCCAATGAACTGATTAGATTTTGGGCGGAGTCGAAACATCTGGGGGGGTACTTTATAGGTGGTCATTTTTATATTTTATGGAATATATCTGTTATTTACGTTTGGAGAAGATAATTCTTTAAATAAAAATTACTTGTAATATTATTATCTATAATTTTTGTTTTATACAAAATTTTCCTAAAATGGTCCGTATTCGAGAAATTTGACAAAATGTAAAAAAAATAATTTTTTATAAAAATTGTTCAAATAAAAGTTATTTGTAATATAATTCTCTATTTTTATTCTATACATAATTTCTCTAAAATGTACCGTATTCGAGATATTTGAGAAAATGTGTAAATTTCGAATTTTGAAGAAAACTCAAAAACGGATAAAGAAAAAAACATTAAATTTTAAACTTAAGTTTTATTTCGGCCTGACGTGAAATTATTAGATTTTGGACAAAGTCGGAACATCTGGGGGGGGGGGTACGTTATGAGAGGCCGTTTTTATATTTTATGGAATATATTTGTTATTTATGTTTGGAGAAGAAAATTGTTCAAATAAAAGTTACTTCTAACTTATGTATAATTTTTGCTTTATGTCAAAATTTCCTGAAATGGTCCGTATTCGAGAAATTTGACAAAATGTGCAAAATTCTGATTTTTATAAAAATTGTTGAACTAAAAGTTGTTTGCGATATCGATCTCTATAATTTTTGTTCATACATGATTTTTCTAAAATAGACCGTAATGGAAAAATTGTAGGAAAAGTGCTTTAAATTTTTCAGTATTTTCGTTTTCAATGAATATCTATAGAAAAATGTTTCGAGGTAGATGTATGTGGAAAATGTATATATTTAGTTTATCCTGTAAACATTAATAGAGGTGCT